CACCCCGGCCATGGGCCAGACCGCGGTGTCCACGCTGTCCCCGCAGCCCGGCAGCGGTGAGTGCGCGAGCCGGACAGGCCGGCCGGCTCCGGGCGGGAGAGCGGACCCCGGGGCGAGGCCTCCGCGTCGGGGCGCCGTGCCGGCCCGGGCTCGGCTTTGGGTTTGATCCAGATTTCTTTCTGAGCCAGAAACTTCCGAGAAACGCCATTTGCGTGCGTCTCGCTGGGGTTTTAAAGAACGCGAAAGTCGGAGAGCGGGAGCGTGCCGGGGCTCTGCCTCTCCGCCCCGCGTCCGAGCAGATCCCGGGGCTCGGGGCTGACTCCGGCGGTGGCGCCCCTGGAAGCCTCCCCTGCCCCGGCGGCGGGAAGCCGAGCGCGCAGCTGCCCGCAGGCCCGGGGTTCCTGGGGGTCCTTGTGTGTGTTAGACTCGCGGGCTGGGAAGTCCTGGGAAGCCTGTAGGTGGTCCGGTTCCCGTGGGCTGAAGGTCGTGCTAGGGAATCGTGCACGACGTTTGGGGTGGTAATGTTCCGTTAAAGTTTCTTTTCCCCATGTTCTCAGCAACAAGTAAAAGGGAGGAAGGTACGCAGGACTAAACAACTGTTTGCTGGCATTCCCTGTGATTAGCTGGTGAAGTAAAGAGGTATTTCGGTTATTTTTGCATCGACGCTTTAAAAAAAAAAACCCTCCAAGCGATCACTTACGTTGTTCATTGAGATAGGTGATGTACTTTTTAAATTGTGTAGACATCCACAGGGTCTTGCTGAAAGGAAATGACAGGGACCAGAGGAACGTTTTTAATCTGCTCCAGGATGTCTAACTAGCTAGCATTCTACCACGCGCCCCCACCCCCAGCACTCCTTGGGTTGTTTACGGTGCACAGCGTCACCGGGGGAGCATCATTTTATTGAAGTTTATATGAATGCCACAGAAGACAGGTCCTTCTGCAAAGGAGAGCGACCAGAAATCGAAAACCTATTACAGATCTTCCTTTCCTGGTCATGATGTGGTTCTTACAGTCTCTGGAAGGCAGAGACTTCATGTTGGTGGCTTTGAGGAACTTTGGAGGATGTTGATTAGAGGTATAAATTTTTTAACAATGGGTGAAAATAAGGTTTGATGTCCTTTGTCTTACTTGAAAGCAGAGTGAGATCTTTCATTTCAAGCAAGAGTTATGTTTTTACCTTTCTGCACCAGCAACGATAGAATTAAATTATTATTCCAATACAGCTGATATGCAAGAGTCGTTTTTGCAATCCAGCAGGTATTTGGGTATTTCTGAGTTTACTTCTGATGCCACAAAATATTAGAGTAACAGAGAATGACTTTTACCTTTATGAAAATCAAGGAATATTCTATAAGTAATAAGAAGAATCCTAAAATGTAACTCTTACCTCTTACCCAGTACAGCAGAAAATACCCAGAGTGTTGTAGTTTCTCATAAATGATATTAGAGATTGTGTAATCCATTTAGATGGAAAGTGATTTAAATAAAAAGTTGTGCTTGATAATAGAAGCAAAGATACATACACCACGGATAATGAGTTTTGTTGTGCTAGATATGGAGTGACAGTGGCTGTGGTGTCTGAGACAGTGTTGTAGAAGCGAAAAACTGTCTTAGGATCGCTAGGTCTGTTAGTCATGCCATTTCCCGGAAATTTCACCATCCAAAACTTTTGATTCCAGATGAAAACCAACACCAAAATAACATGTGGTCAGTTGTATATGAGTGTATTCTCGGAGTCTGGGCATGTCAAAACTGCTCTTTATTCTGTCCTCTCCTTCTTAGCTTTTACCTTTGGCTTTGTAGATGGCGTGAAGATTTTGGATCTGTTTGTTCTTAGCTGTCTCCAACAGTAGTTAAGACTGGAGCCTGGAGTGGCTGGTGGGGATTACAGTGTCGTCGATGGCTCTCCTCTGCAGTGCTTATTAGAGGAAACTATCTGTTTGAGTCTGAGAAATCAATAGCACAGAGCCCAGTAGTTTATCCTTATCACTCATGCTGAGCTTTCCTAAAAATCTTCATTGTATCCAACAGTGAACATGTGTTTTCCTCTTTTGATAAGGTTCTCTTGAGCCTTTCCGTGTAGGGCTGCCACTATTTCTCTGGGCTCTATGTGCTATTAATAGTTATTTCTCAAGCAGTAACATTAGTATTTCTTTTTAAAAACAACTTTTGTTAATTCATATACCAGAAAACTCAGGCACTGAAAATGTATGATTCATTATTAGTGTAATCGCAGTATTGGGTAAATACCTATCCCTACCTATTCTCTTGCGCTTTCTACCCTAATTAAACACTAATCTGCTTCCTGTTTCTATGTACCCTAATTAGACACTAATCTACTTCCGGTCTCTGTTTGCTTTTTTTGAGTATTTATTTTATTTTGTATTAGTACATATTTACAATACATAAATACATTCACCATGGGGGAATATATATATATATATATATATATATATATATATAATGTGTATATATAGTATCTTAATCTATCTTACTTATTTTGAGCATTTTGTGTAAATGGAAATGTGTTTTATGGCCTCTTTCTTTCAATTGGTATGTTTTAAGGGTTATTTATATTATAGCACAAATCAGTACCTCAGTTCTGTTTATTGCTAAGTAATATTTCTCTATATGGGCAGGCTATGTTTTATTAATTCATCAACGTTAGTTCTACTTTTCCGGCTGTTATGAATAATGCTGCTCAGAACTTCATGTGGAGGTTGTTGGTAAAGATAGGTTTTCGTTGCTGTTGGCTATGTAATTAGGGGTCAAATTGCTGGTTTGTATGGCAGCTAATTCTACAGTTCACCTTTTAAGGAACAACCAGCTTCTAAAGTGGCTGCCACACACTTTACAAGTGTTACAATATTTTCACATCCTTGTCAACATTTGCTATCATCCTTTTTTATTACAGCCACGCTTGTATATATTAAATTGTATCTCATTGTAGTTTTGGTCTGGTTTTCTATAATCATGTGACATTGACCATCTTGTCATATGCTTATTCCCCTTTTTATGTCTTCTTTGGGAAAATGTCATAGTCAAGAGGCTTTGCCTAATTTTAATTGAGTCACTTACTGAGTTTTAAGGGTTCTTTATAAACTGAAAGTTCCTTATCAGGTATATGATTCATAAATATTTTCTCCCATTCTCTAGGTTATAATTTTAAATTAATACGATTTATGGCTCAGAATTTTAAAATTTTGATGATGCCCTGTTTAGTTTTTATTTTGTTATTTGTTTTTGGTGTCATTTTGAAGAAATTGTTGTCTAAGAAAACAAAACCCAAGAAAATTTATGTGTATATTTTCTTCTAGGCATTCTGTAATTTTAGCTCTTACATTTGAATAGCTTTTAGTTTTTAATGAATGGGATCATGTAGAATTTCAAGCTTCATTCTTTTGTGCCTGGATTCCAGTTGTTCCAGCATTCGTGTATTTGTTGCAAAGAGGATTCTTGCCCCACTGAACTGTGTCGGTACCTTTGTGGAAAATCCATCAACTGAATGTGTAAGGGTTTATTTCTAGATTCTCAGTCAAATCGCATTGCCTATTCTTTTGCTAGTATTACATTGTCTAGAACTGTAATAGCTTTGTAGTGTGTTTCCAGACTGGGAAGTATCAGTCTCCCAATTTTGTTTTTCAATATAGTTTTGGCTATGGTGTCTCCATTGTATTGCCATTTAAATCCTATAATCAGCTTGTCAATTTCTATTTTTTCAAAAGCCTGCTGAGACCAATAAGGATTCTGTTAAATCAGTAGTTCAGTTGGGATAGCATTACCATCTAACAATATGAAATCTTCTAATCCAAGAAAAAAGATGTCTCTACTTAAATAAATCTTTCGACATTTCTTTCTATAGTTTCATAGTTTTCAGTATATGGATCCTGTTTTCTTTTGTGAAATTTATCCCTAAGTATTTTGTAGCTTTCAATGCTATTTTATTTTATTTTTTATGTATTTGGTACAGAGTCCCATTACACAGCTCAGACTTGTAGTCATCCTCCTGTTTTCTTTTTTTTTTTTTTTAATTTTATTTATTTATTTATTTATGTGTGTGTGTGTGTGTGTGTGTGTGTGTGTGTGTGGCCAGCTCAGCCCACCAGGGGGTGGGGCTGGCTGGCATGTGGTGCTGGGGGATTGAACCGTGGTCCCTGCGCTTCGCTGAGCTTGTTCTAAGTAGGTGCTTTAGACCACTGAGCCATCTCACCAGCCCATCCTCCTGTTTTCAGCTTCCCCTGTGCTGGGATACATCTCAGTGGCCAGCTCAGGGATTCGAACCCTGGTCCCCGCACTTGCCTAAGCAGGCGCTTAGTCTGCTGAGCTATCTTACTGGCTGTCTCTCAAAACATATACCTTTCATGGACCTTTTGAGTTTGGGGAAGAGCTAGAAGTCACTTGTGCCAAATCTGATGAAAAAGGTGGACGGGAACACACTGTAATGGTGTTATGAGCTTTCCCTTCTGTTGGGTGATATTCAAAAGCATTCATTGTACTTTTGACCACACTTGATAAAGACATTTGTGAAAGAGGACTTTCAGAACTGCTGCAGAAAGTAGCAAGAATGGTGAGATCAGTCTGTTGGAAATAGGAGTTGGGGGTGTTTTGCAGATAAGTGAGGGACATAAACCTTAAAAACTGAAACCTTCACCATATATTTTGATCATATCGCATATTTCTTTTCCTTTCTAATAGCCCTGCCTAGAAAATCCAGATCAGTATAGATATGGCAGGAGTCAACCTTTTGTCTTGTTTCTGATTCAGAGTGGAAGACAGTTGGTCTTTCACCACTAAGTGTAACATTAACTGTGAAATTTTTATATGTCTTTTGTTAAAAAATTTCTCTGTAATTCTTTGCTTGTGATTATTATGAAAAGAATGGATTTTGTCAAAGGCCTTTTCAGCCTCCTCTGAGAGGATTGTACAGTTTTTATTCTTCATTCTATTAATGTGAGAACCTTGCAGCCCTGGAATACTGTACATTCTACTTGGGAATGGAATATAATCCTTTTTATAGAATGCTGAGCTGTGTTTTCTTGTGTTCTATTATGAT